CCATTTCTCATAAGATGTTAGCCTAAATTAATGAAGGCTGAATGAAAATGTTTAAATGTTGTAATGTTAAGAATATGCCAGAATGTACAATTGTTAATATCAAGCTCTGTTTTATACATTCTTTATAGGTTTGCAGTTTTTTGTTTACTTGTGCAGACTTGTTTTACATTTTGACACCTAATTATCTATTACAGATATGGATTATTTTAATTTGTTGTCTTTATCCAGCTTAGTGTTCATTAAATCCATGGAATGAGAGATTCTGAAAGAAGAGCAACAATTTCTTCAAACACAAGTTCTGTCTCACCAATTGTATAATATCCACAGTTGTATGTTTAGCTTATGTTTATACTTTGTATTTTTAATTTAATTCTAGTTTCAAGCACAATTATGAACATCACACGTAGTACATAGATGGGATATCTTATTTTGCTAAATTTATGATTTAATCTAGCATATTATTATTCTTGTTTTAGGAAACTAAACCTTAGAATATTCACTGTATTTTTTATACTTTAAATGCAGTGTATAGTTTTTCAATGGATGCAACTTACTTAGTTGAAACTATTAATAAAGATTTTTATATTCTATTTCTCTTTACAGATTTAGCAAGGAATGCTACTAAACCAGTGAATCATGGGGTTGCTACATAATGTACTATGTACCTTTCGGAGTGCTATTTCGGTTATGTCACATTAGTTCGTGTTTGATAACTATCAGTGCATAATAAAAAATGCTAATATTTGTAGAACGATTCCAGTCATATCAAGAATAAGTGAAAAATGGAAAAATAAGTTTAACAAACAACCACTACTTATGTTTCTTTTCCCACTTGTGACTTTATATTTTGTTTAGGTATTTGAATGGATATCCAAATTATTTTTGAAGTTGGTGGTTCTGAGTTACTTTGGCTAACACTGATCATTGTGATGGAGCTGAGTTAGAATGCAGATGAAACAGCTAGCTAACAAGGTATCAGCTAAGCAATTAATTTATAAACTATTGTTTAAATACTTCCTAGGTTTTGTTCCTGGAAAGCGCCATATTCATCGTCTAATCTAGATATGAATGAACTAGATAAGACTAAATATGCATCAAATAATTTCTTTATTTAACAATAGGTGTCATAAAACAAAGTTGAATTTATAGGACACAAGTATAAGTAATAAGTAAATATGACTTGGGAGTTGTTCATTTCATCTTGTTTTTATCATTCTTATCGCGTATTGCACCCTTCTCCTACATTTGAGATTATTCTCATATCCTGTGCTCAAATTTTTATTTGTTCTTAGGAACTCTGATTGACAAAAAGTATATTTGTTAGCTCGTTGTTATTTGTGTGTTAATTACTTATCATACATTAGCATTATACTCTGTAGCTTAGATGTGAATATTAGTTCTCATACTTAGTTGCTCAAATATAAATAATTGCAGTATAATATTGATTTCTTTTTCAAAACAATATTTAGGTAAGTCTTATTCTAAAAAAAATGAACTGATTATACATAAATATATAAAATGGGTGCTTAATTATTTGAAATGGTTGTTTACAGGTGAGGGATTCATCACATGAAGATGAAGATGGAATGGAATCAAATGATGAATGACGCATACCCATGATTTGTCACTTGAGCTTCTCCTAGCAGTAGTGATAAACAATCGTTCTTTGTGAACATGATGTTCAACATTTTGCTACTTATCAAACTCATGTCTCTGTCAAAGAGCTTTTAACATAGCTACATTGAATGCTTTTGTACAACTTAAGTTGTTTGGTTTGTAATGTAATGAATTTGATGTTGGGGCCAACATTTGTTTCACTTTTGTGTGTAGTTATAATTAAATGGACAACTAGTTACATTCATTTCTATAGGTGTGTAACAACATCTTGGCTGCATGTGTGCAAATATATAATCGTTACATTACATAATTAATCAGGGTCAACTTTTTTCCAAAACCGTTACCCTTGTGCATGTTACATACTGTTACATTTGTACTCGATCTGTTGTAACATTTATGACATCTCGTGAGGACCATTACAGTTGGTCATAAATTTCGTTACAAGCCGTTACATTAGAGCAAATGCAACGCGAGCGAATGTAACGGCGAGAAACTATTACAATAAGTCAAATGTAACACTTTTTTGGACCAAATGTAATGATTTATGCTGTTACAAAAGACCCGAAAATGTAGTAGTGATATGTAACTTTACGTAAAAAAATATGTAACTCGCGTTCAGACAGGTAAAATGCAACTCGTGTGTATAAATATGTAACTCGCGTGTATAAATATGTAACTTTAAGTGTAAAAATATGTAACTTGACGTGTAAATATATGTAACTTGACATGTAAATATATGTAACTCGCGTTCAGGCAGGTCAAATGCAATTCGTGTGTATATATATGTAACTCGCGTGTAGAAATATGTAACTTTACGTGTAAAAATATGTAACTTCACATATAAAAATATGTAACACACATGTATAAATACCTAATACAATAAATTTTTTATATACACAATTTTAAGATAAATTGTGATTTACAAAATTATTTTTCTGTATTAAATTTAGTTTGGTTTTCCTTATAATCCAATAATCATTTACTCTCTCCGCTTCTCAAACAACTTCCCACTTTCCTTTTCGGGAAGTCCGGAAATTAACTTCACACTTTTTCTTATTTCCTTATTTGGCAAATTATCTACACCAAACTAGTGCAAAACGGTGCCAAACAGTGTCAAACAGTGTTCAAACAATGCCAAACAATGTACTCCACAGTAAAGTCAAATTTATTTTCTTAATCTGTGTGAAGTCAAACTGTGAAGCTTTTTGAGAACCGGTGGGAGTATATAATAGTTCCATAATTTGTTAAAATTACATAAGCAATATTGGTCTCATTTGATAGATCATGAAAAATAAAAAAAATTGATATATATTTTATAAAAATCGGATATGAAACAAAAAAGTTATTACAATTTTTAACAATAAAAAGAATAAAAAATAATGGAACCAGGCGATAATACTCGTCGTTTTGCAACCGGGCGCACCATCCTCATGGTGCGCCGGTTGCACGGTATAATCTGTGCTCTGAAAGTGTCACAGAAAAGCGGGGCTAGTGACGCTAAATTTAGTGTCACCGTTAAAAAGTCATTTTTGTGTCACAAAATTATGACATATAAACATCATAAAAATTTGTGATATATATGTAACAAGGATTTTTGTGATATCAATGCATCACGTTTTTTATTGATATATACATATCACTACTAGAAAAAGGCCTTACAGTGACACCAAATTAGTATCACTAAAGGTTTCTGTGAAACTACAAAAGTGTCAATGTACATGATTCATTAGTATATTAGTATATATATTTTATATATATTTTATATTAGTATATATATATATTAATACAAATAAACCAAAATATTAACATTAAACAAAATCTCAAACATTTTATTTATATCTTAAGATTTCAAATGAATGTACATGATTCATAGGGGCATACCCCGGAAATCATAAATGTAATTAAGTACAACTCAAAAAACAAAACACAAGTTACAATTATAGCTAGAATTGAGATAAAACACGGTCTATAGGACACAAAACAATCTTTAAGTGTCAAGCCCCTCCAATGGCATTTTTATGGAAGTAATCAACAACACGTGCTCCCTTTTCCCCAATCACATCAAAATGCATGATTGGAGAAGTATTAAAAAATCACGTCTCACCTGCGATAATAGAGAAATTGGTAAGAAAAGTACAATGCATGAGAGAGATAGAGAGTGTAAGAGAAAAACCAAATAACATATTGGAGAGAGAGTGTGTGTAAGAGATAACCAAATAACACATTGGGAAAGCAATCGTTAATTTTATGGCCTTTACAGCAAAAGGTGACAGTTTGTGTAGCTTCTGAGCGAGCATACTGCAATTGTATCATTGCACCAGCTGTGTTCATGTACACATGTTGTGTACATAGCACCAAAGTAAATAATTGTAATAATCCAGCATCAGAAAGTGTCACTATAAGACAGTTTTCTACTAGTGTACTCTATTCACATTTACACTTTCATCTTTTATAATTCATATATTCTCATATTATAATTATATTTATATACTTATTTAGTATTACACAATAATACTATATAAATATTTATAATTTCAATTTCTACATTCCTACTCCTACTCTTTCAATCTTTCTTATTAAATATATTATTTTACAATTATATTTATGTACTCCTACACTTTCATATTTAACATATATATTTAATTATATACATTTGTAGTTAACTAATTCCTACAGTGTTGTAGTTAACTAGTTCCTACTTCCTACATTTTTGTTAATTACACAATAATACTATATAAATATTTATAATTTCTATTTCTACATTCCTACTCCTACTCTTTCAATCTCTTATTAAATATATTATATTATAATTATATTTATACACTCCTACACCTTCATATTTAACATATATATTTAATTATATACATTTGGAGTTAACTAGTTCCTACATTGTTGTAGTTAACTAGTTCCTACTTCCTACATTTTTGTTAATTACTTCCTACATTACTTCCCATTGTATAATTAAGTAATTTTTATACATTAATATATAATTTGATATATATATATATATACGAATTATATATATGATGGAGTATATAGACCCCGACCCCCCGACCTAGGGTTGGACTCGGGCCGGGTGGCCCGACCCGGAACCGGCCCGGGACCGGCACTGTTCCGGCCCGGCCCGAACCGGTGGCCCGGTCAGTGACCGGTCCGGGTAGGCCCGACCCGGTGGGTTTCCGGTCCGGGCTCGGGTCACCCATAACAAGGCCCGGGCCCGGTTCGGGCCAAATTTATTTTTTTTTTGGTTTTTTTCATTTGTTTGGGCTCCACCGGGTTGGGCTTGATGTTTAGGAGGGGTTTGGGGGGTGGGGGGTGAGGGGGGGTCAGGGATGGATAGCTAAGCAAAAAATCTGTGCCGCTTTCATCTCTTCTCCCTTCTTGTTCAATCTCTCCTAAATTATAGGATACGGGTGTCGATTATCCATTAAATGGTGCTCTCGTTGAGAGGTTTGAACACAATCAAGTGAGAAAACCTCCCAAAACATCCAAAAATTCTTCCAAAGAAAAGAAATCAAGAAAAAATCTGGATATTCATGATCGTAGATCTGGGATTTTCCAGATGTGAGCTAGAGTCGTTCGCAATGTGCCATCAGTTGGAGGTCCCTGCTCGCTACAACCCGCCACCAGTGCCGCTCCTGACTCACCTGCTGCTGCACCGGATGGTATACACCGTATCCAATAGACCTGGAGCAATGGCCGCCGTCACTCCGTCAGTCGTCGCTATGAAGGTCGCTTCGAATCGGGCTTACATCTCTGAAGCTCGACATAAGTGCGATGGAAAAGAGGGTATTTCTAAGGTCTTCCATCTCCGATTTTACAGATCCAAACCTCTGTCCACCATTAATGGCCGCTGAGAGCTTAGAGTGACAGATCGTAAATCAGCACCCCTGTGGATACGGAACTCTCCCGCTGGCTAAACCTGAGGAGTGTATAGGTCACCGCCTGAGAAAGCTTCGCCGGTGGTGCCGGAGCCCTAGCGCTCTCGGACATTTTCACTCTGCCACTGGATCCGCCTGAGGAACGTACCAGTCTCCGCCCCAGAAACTTCGCTGCTGGTACTGACTGAGATTGATAGGCTGTCACCATCCCTAGTGCCTGATGGCTGCTCCGCTGGGCGAGCTACAGTACCAGTGTGCTGCTTGGGGTCCTGGTCGCATTATGGCTGTCCATTTTGCCAGATGTGAGAGATGGCAGGAGCTTTTGCAGAAGCCTTGCGCTAGGAGGAGGCGAGTCTGCTCAAAAGTCAAACTTTCGGCAGTGGCAGAGCTTGTCCAAGACTTGTGCGGCGTCGCTTGCAAAGCTGCAAAGGCCGATGGACCTACCGGGAATCTGGGGCAAGTTTGTAGCAGTGGGCTGCATTACATATAACCTAATTAAAGCTTTCAACAGGCCACATTTCATGCCAAGCAGCCCATGGATTTCAGCCCATCAAAAGATAAGTACTCTTTAATTTTCATATTATTTATATTTATTTAAATCATTTCTTTTTGTCGAGCGAATGTCAAACTATCGCACAATTATGATCAAATGCCCAGTAGACTGTGACTTGAGACTCATCACTAGGATTTAAAGCCCTGACCCAGATCAAGCACAAAGCCCTGACCCAGCTCAGGCACACAGCCCTGACCCAGATCAGGCACAAAGCCCTGACCCAGCTTAGGCACAAAGCCCTGACCAAGTCAGGCACGAAGACCGATCTTAGTCATTCCTCGAGTGGCGACCGTTGCTTACGAATGGCTCACACATCCACTCTACTAAGTATTTTATCATTAGATTAGCAATTCACATTTACACTTTTTTCAAGTGACGAACTCCTGATCATAAACACAAACCCCAAGAAAAAAATTATATGTATGTTAAATGTGTAGGTACGAAGATGACTTTACTTATTTTCACCTTGTCTCCACTCGCCTCAAGGAGTGGGGGACTGAGGGACTGAGGGGTCAGAGTTTCTAGATGAACAGAAAATATCATGCATGAGCAGGAACAAAAGCTGAGCCAGATGAAGAGGAGCTGAGATAGACAAAATTGATTATGCCGAAGGGAACTTACCTTCCTTGTTTCATGTTGGGGGCGCTTGGTGTACTCTTTTTCCCTTTATTAGAATTTTTTCCCATTAGGTTTTTCCTAATAAAGGTTTTTAACGAGGCACCTCCCAATCATGGACAAGGGTGGTGGTCCCCCGGCCGAAGAGGAAGAAACCAAAGACAGAAGAACGTTTCAGATACAATTGTGGGCTACTCCCTTTCACCTCGAATACTCTCGGCTCAGGGAGTGGGGGACTCCTGATGGAGTATATAGACCCCGACCCCCCGGCATGTCGACTATTGGGCCTGGACAACGATTCACGTACACCAGCAGACGACATTTATATTATTGTATAGTTTACATATTCATTGTATGTACTAGATTAGCTTTTTATACTATTAGTCCATTTATGTAACCAGGTCTGTTAGGCCCATATTAGAGGTCGAGACCCGGATTTTCCTATATATACTACTTATAGGAGGCTTGTAAACCTAAGTCACAACTTCCATATTCATACACAATACACTTTCATCTATATATATATATATATATATATATATATATATATATATATATATATATATATATATATATATATATATAATTGTTGGATCGATACACCCCTTTTCGGATTCGACTAACTTCCCAGTGGGTCACTCATCCTTGGGCTTTCTTACCTCGGGCTCGCTTAACTGTAGAGTTCTGTGGTTAAATAACAGCCATATATTTCTTAAGACCAATTGGTGATAAGGAAGTGGACACCCTCTATTTAACCCATTACTCTGTAGTCCCCAAGTCAAGGTAGATTCTTGTGGGGCGCCCCTCACAGTTCACTACGGCAGTGCAGAGCCCCACTACTGAGCGGTGGATGGACATGAGGGGCTGCACCACATCGTGGTGCCAACAAGTTGGGCGGTTTGTCCCTGAATCAAAGGGTGGTGCTGATCCCCAATAAGACCAACAATCACCCCCCAGCACTAGCCAGGAGATTCACTTGTGACCTCGCTCTGATACCACTTGTTGGATCGATACACCCCTCTTCGGATTCGACAAGCTTGTTAGATCGATACACCCCTTTTCGAATTTGACTAACTTCCTAGTGGGTCACACATCCTTGGGCTTTCTTACCCCGGACTCGCTTAACTGCAGAGTTATGTGGTTAAATAACAGCCATATCTTTCTTAAAACCAATTGGTGATAAGGAAGTGGACATCCTCTATTTAACTCATTACTCTGTAGTCCCCAAGTCAAGGTAGATTCCTGTTGGACACCCCCCACAGTTCACTACGATAGTGAAGAGCTCCACTACTGAGCGGTGGATGGACATGAGGGGCTGCACCACATCGTGGTGCCAACAGATTGGGCGATTAGTCTCTGAATCAAAGGGTGGTGCTGATCCCCCATAAGACCAACAATAATTTAATATATACACACATATATACATATTAAACAATATATATAGGTATTTGTTACACACACACACAAGAAATATAAAGAATATATATAATTTAATGTAATAGTCCAAAATATATTAAATATATAATATAATATATATGTACGAAATATATATATATATATATATATATATATATATATATATACACACACACACACACACTATAATAATTAATAGTCGAAATTTATTTAGTTGCATTTACTAACATTTTACTTGCATTGTAGTTGTTGTTGTTGTTTTAGATACATTTTGTTAAATTGTAGTTGTTAAATTTTAATAGTTCTACACATTAAGTAGCTAGTCACATTTTAATCGTTGGTACACTTTATTTGATAGTAGTTGCAATTAAGTGATTTAAATATTTAACTAGTTCTTCAAATTTTATTTTTAGTTAAATTGTAATTGTTGTTAAATTTTAATAGTTGTACACTTTATTTAATACTACTTGGATTGAATTAGTTTGTTACATTTGTAATAGTTAGTCACATTTAAGTAGTTAGTCACATTTTAATTGTAGGTACATTTTATTTGATAGTATTTGGAATTAAGTGGTTCAAATATTTAACTAGTTCTTCAAATTTTATTTTTAGTTAAATTGTGGATGTTAAATTTTAATAGTTCTACACTTTATTTAATTGTAGTTGCATTCAATTAGTTAGTTGCATTCAATTAGTTAGTCACATTTTTTGTAGTACTTCTTAAACTTTAATTCTTGTTAAATTTTTATATTTTGTAATTTGTAATCTTGACATTGTAATTTGTATTTGTTGTAACATTTTTAAGACAATGGAGCGGGGTAGGAGATCCGTTGATATAGGTAGTCTCAAACGCAATCGATCAAAGAAGATTGCGAGAGGTCAACCTTCGGGGTGGTCGGGGCGATCGAAAGGTAAACGACAAGTAGGGCAACATCTTCGTCCCAATCACGCGATGATGGGATGACTGATTATGATCGTTGAAATGCGATGACCGATGGGCAACTTCGGGATCTCTTGAGGCAAAACCAAGACCGATTTTTCCATCAACAACACATCCCAACCATTGAAGAGGAGTTGGAGGACGATGACGCCGAAGAGGATGCTGTCTTGATCCTCGTTTCAAACTTTCAAATTATCAAACACTTTTAGATTACTATTAAATAAAGTGTGAAATAGATTACTAACCTCGTTGAATTGGGCTTGAGGATCTATAGGTGTGTCTTCGCACAATACGGTAATACACCCCTCCCCCAACACCGAGTGCTTCCTCATCTAAAGGAAAAGGTTTTTTTAAAATCAACAATATATACTCTCTTGAAAAAAAGTAATTCAACTCATGTCGTTGCACGAAGCTCGATTAACGAGTTGTCTTTATATCTAACGTTTCCTGCTGAGTTTAATGAAGCGGATGACTTTGATATTCTCCAATGGTGGAAGACCCACGAAGGGATGTTTCCGGTTTTATAAAAAAATGGCCAAACAAGTGTTCTCCATGCCGGATTCAACTGTTGCCGTGGAACAAGAGTTTAGTCTGGTCTCGTCTATTTAAGTCCGGTCTGAACTAATCTGGTCTGGTAAATGTTTGATCTCTGTGTATTTTATAACTACGGAAATCAAGTCTGATCTGATCTGGTCCATTTAAGTGTGGTCTGGTCTGGGACTGAAAACAGTCCAAGTAAAAACATCCTAATCGTAGTTTGGTTTTTGGTCAAAATCGAACCGAAAGAACCGAACCCACCCCTAGTTTCTACCCCTATGTCGGACAAATTCTTTTATTTAATTTTTCCGATGATGAGAAGCTTTTATTAAGAAACCATACTCCTATTAAGCTATCGCACACAAAAATACAAACCAAAATATACTACGTATGTTTTAATTTTTCCGATGATGAGAAGCTTTTGTCAAGAAATCATACTCCTATTCAGCTATTCTTCACGCAACTTAGCTGCGGTTTTTTGTGTTTTCTTTTGATTAAACAATGTACTTCAATTTTTTATAATAGAATTTTGAAAATTTGACAAATTAAAAAATAAATAACATAAGTGTGAAAAACATAGAATTAATTTTATTTGTTATTTGTTAAGCATTAATCCTAATTAATCCTAATATCATCAATAATCTTTGATTTTCTTGTGCTGGTGAATTAATTTATGTGTTATGTTTAGTTTAGTATATAAATGCATTTACACATGCATTGCATGTAATAATAATGTAGTTAGATTGATCTATTATGTAGTATGTTGTAATTTCTTGCATGATGTTTTTACTTGTTATAACTATTAACATGCATTTTTCTTGTAGTGTGCATTTTCCATTGTATTTTATGTAATGTAAAGTTTTATATTTATAGATCAAATACATATTCATCTCAACTATATCACATAGGACGTATACATTCAAGAACTTTTTTCAAACTAGTCACAAACAGTACGTGGCGGATGTGCTTTATGCAAGGGTGTTCACATGAACACCCAAAACAATTGAATTAGAGTAATAATTTGTTTAAAGAGAAAATATGTAATTTTGAACACCCAAAATGTAAGTACTAGGTCCGCCGCCACTGGTCACAAACAATGTATATTAAAAACATAGACTTTTATCTCTCTCGCATACTTATATAACTCAAGACATGTTTATTTTTACTCATTCTTTATTTTATTTATTCTATGATGTGTGCATTTTTATTTAATATGTTTAATCCCTCAAACTATTATATCACTCTAAATCAAATGACAAAATTTTACTAAAAACCGAAAAACCCAAAACTGAATCGAAATAAATCGAACCAATCAAACCATGGTTTCAAATTTCGAAATGAAAAACCGAACCGAAACCAAACCGAACTTTCCACTTTGATTCCGTATTTGGTTTTTGGTCAAAATTGAACCGAAATAACCGAACCCACCCCTAGTTTCTACGCATATGCCGGACAAATTCTTTTATTTATTTTTTCCGATGATGAGAAGCTTTTGTCAAGAAATCATACTCCTATTAAGCTATCGCACATAAAAATACAAACCAAAATATATGTTTTAAGCTATTTTTCCTATCATCTTGATCTTAAGATCAAATCTCAAAACTTAACATGGATCCCCAGGACTTAATTAACTCGTTTTTAATTTTAGCCTCTTAACCAGGGGCGTAGCCGGGGGGGGGGGGGTCAGGGTGGTCAGTCGACCCCGCTGAAAGTTTGGGAGCGTAGAGCTCTGAAATATCTTCGATTGGATATATTATGCCCCCATGTAACTCATTATGAGTAAAAAGTTATAACTTCTAGAAAATCAGCATTATCTAAACGTAGAGTCAACAAAATTTGATGCGTACTATAGATTATTTTCCCTAATTTTAAAAATAGGGTATAATCCACGCATTACTTACATGACATGACTCATAAATAGAGCAAAACCAATCTATCTTGTTGCTACAAGTGCCTATTTATCTAAACTGCATATGAAATATTCAACTCGAATATTGTTTAAAAACGATTCACCATTTTCATTCTTATATATATTGAGTTTCGACCCTCCTGAACCATTTTTCTGGCTCCACCACTGCTCTTAACCCCATTTATTGTCTTGTAATTAAAAAAGCTTTCCTATTAAACTTACACGGGTTACACATTAATTGTTTAACCACACATTCCTAAATGTCTCCCATACCGGAAAGGTATTAGCGACTAAACCACCTTATAAGTTTACTTCAACCACATTGTATCAAGTTGTCTACTCAGTGGAAGATTTGACTTGCTGATATTCTCACCGCCGGTTATATATTTGAATGAACTAAAGTGATTCAATCTAATAGTTAACTGGTGGCTGAGAATATCAGCATGCCTTCTCATCCACCAAATTTTGTTTTAATTTGCTTATTTGTGTACATTAGCATGCTCTCTCGTTCACTTAATTATTACCCTCTCCGTTCCATAAAATTTCTTTCCGATTTGACTTGAATCGGAGTTTAAGAAATTGAGAATAAACAATAAATGTACGATTGCAGTGGAGTAAGAAAAACTAAATGAGTTTTAAACACACAAAACTTTCCAAAAAGACAAATGAAAAGAACTTTTTGGAGTAATGGAAACATACTTTTTCGAACAACTCACATTGTCCATTTTCTACATTTAAGTCAAGCAATTTTCAGTTTTAGTTAGAAAGCATTTTGAAGAATTTTTTTGTTATGGTAACCATATTTTCCATTTAATTCAAGCATTAATAGGGTTTGAAGTTTGGTCAAAATAATAAAAAGCAATGAGGAATTTAACAAAAGTGTAAAATAGGAGTAAACACTAAGAAAGTAAAAAATTGGAGTCCTATATATGTCCAAACACAATTATAAATGTAGTTGAGATTCGTGTAATTTCCGATTGTATGTTTGCATTTTTAATTAGTTTTGTGATTCGTTAGTTTGGAAATTACACACTTTTGACGTAGTGCTTTAGTTTGTTTAAATATTTGTAATTTGTTTAGATTAAGATTTTTCTAAGCTCTGGAAATGTCAAAATAAGTCAAAGGATCAAAGAATGGATCCCAAAGATCAATGGATATGCAAAGAAACAAGATCAAACAAAGGATTTGGAAAGAAGTTCATATACCCAGATTCGTTTTAAAAAAAAAATCAAACAGAACCGAGTTAGAACTTACATATCTTCTATCCCACAGGTGGTAATCTTTGACCTTAGGTATCCACGTTATTTCTCTTTTCTGAAACAACGGTTAGATCTCCCTTAGAGAGCGGCTAGGAAATCTCCTTAACTTTAAGTATCCATGTCATTTCAAACTTTTTACTCGTATTTCAGGAATTTTTCCTTTACCAAATAACATTTTTTCACTTATTGGAAACCTTAAAAGTTTATTTGGGCGTGTACATTTTTTTTATACATTTAGTGATTATTATGATTTACGATGGGCACTCTGACCTACTCGTAACTTAACCAGGCATCCATATCAACGAAATCAACACCGCAACGGTCTCTGCTCAAGCTCTAGGAAGGGCACTATAACACCAGCTGGCTGATTAGTTTAGATTTTGAAGCCAAAAGGTTGAATATAAAGAAATTCAATCAAAAAAAATTCATAGATAAAAAAAAAAAAATCTTTTCCAAAGGTGGGTATAAGGGGTGGGTATAATGGTGGGTACAACTAGAATGATTGAAATTCAATACTACCTCCGTTCTTAAAGAAATGCAACATGTAAAATTTTACACAATTTAAATGTTCTACTTTGACTACATTTTATTTATTAATGTATTAATAATTTATTTTAGAAAATATATTGTTAAATTTGTTTCATCCTAAATTTTCAAAATCTGAATTGGTTTCACTTTTTTTTACTGAAAGTGAATTAAATATACTAATAGTTAAAGTTATGCATTGACAAATGTTAAAAACTGACTATTGCATTTATTTAATAACGGAGGTAGTATTTGATAGGTTAAATGCTAACTAAGCAATAATATAAGACATAAAAGGAGTTACAGACTTACATTGATTACTCGAGTAGGATTCGAAGTATGAAAAATGGTATGTAGAGCTTTTGTACGGATTGGGCGTGTACAACAAATTCTTTTTATTTATAGCTCTACAGTGGATATGTTGTTTTAGAAGCCGGGTATGTCAACAAATTACTTCCTCCGTTCTTAAATAAATGCAACGGTCAACATTTCACACTTGCCGACACATAGCTTTGACCATTAATATAAATGATTTTGTATTAGTAAAAAAGTTAAAAAAAATAGATTATGAAAATTTACAATGAGACAAGTTTAACAATATTTTTTTCATAAAATAATATTATTACATTAATAAATAAAACGTAGTCAAAGTAGAACATGTGAATGGTGTAAAAGTCAAAGTGTTGCATTTATTTAAGAACGGAGGCAGTATATCCTTAAATTTAGGTTTTTATACATTTGATTTGAGTTTTCTCACACTTAAAATAGATCGTAGAATAGTGGTGTAAGTACGAGTATCGTCTCCACATGGACGGTAAAAGGGAATTAAGAATTAAATAAATTCAGCAATAAAAAAAAGAAATAAAATAAAATAAATTGTGCGAGATTGGTTGGTTTGAAAAATTAACTAATGCGAATGAACGATTAAAATAAAAGATTGGTTTGTCTCTAATTAACGACGAAGGGAACATGAATTGATTCCGGGGTAATCATATTTCTGTCTGATCAGACTTAATTACATGAAATTAATTTAATTGAGCCTAGCTAATCAGTAATAAGTTATTACCGCTCTCGCGGCGTAGAGTACAATAATTTAGGGGACCAAGCTGATCTCTCATGCGACAGGATCCTAAATTATTGCCAAGACGAACAAGCTTACAGCCCCTTAATCGCTACTAATCTCTAAGCGAATGATTAAGTGTGTGTGAATGTGTCCTAAAATAAATTAGATCTCTCTTCACTTATTCTACAAGCACTTGTAATTCTAACGCACGTTCTAGGTTACAAGAGATATCTGTTAAATTATTTAAACACAATTTAAACGGCATTCATGCAATTAATCCATCAAGAAACTAGCCATACATCGCGATTAACCCCTTTATTAATCTCAAATCCCTAATCAAAACTACCACCGACTCATAATTGAAGAATCAACAGAGTTGATGAATATAAATAATTGTCATTAATTAAAAAGTAGGAACTTACAAAGAATGTCAATGAATTGAAGAACAAGCCTAAAAAGCTCTCAAAATTTCGTGGTAGGCCTTCTCTCTAAGTTCCATCACCAAAAAGGGTTAGGAAGACCTTATCTAAAGAAAAAGGGGAAAATCCAATTAAAACTAGGGCTTCGGCGTTAGGCACGGCGCTAGGCACGATCGTGCCTGTGCCGTGCATCCGGAGTATTTTAGCTTTTTCGCGTACAGGCACGGCGTGCCTGCCTTGCCAAGCACGACCATGCCTGGCTTCCAGGGAACCAATTCCTCGATGTGCTACAGGCACAGCGTGCGTAATCTCCCAGGCACGACCGTGCCTGACCTCCAACGGACAGTTGCTTCAATACGCTATTGGCACGGCGTGCCTATCTCCCCAGACACGATCGTGTCTAGCCTTTTTCGTCGCCTGGTATTCTTCTAGGCACGCACGGCGTGCCTGGCTGCTGGGCACGGCCGTGCGTGACCTTTTCTTCGTCTTTTCTTCTCGTTTCTTCCTCCAAGTGCTCCCGCGTTGATCCCAAAGGTCTTCTCTTCATCAATTCTTCATCGTGAACCTCCCGGAGACCTCAAAATCTCTCGAAACTCTCTTGAATGCTCATCAACTCTTCTTGATTTCTTCTCAAGCGCCGGTGCCGGATCTAAATACCTGGTTTTTTACTCCAAACAATAAAAAACTCGAACCAACGCGTTGTACACATAACTTGAGCTAAAATTGAGATTTGTGAGACCTAAGAGTTAGGAAAACCATCAAAAACCGATCCCAACACGCATCAAATGCGTGTTGTAATACGGACTTATCAAATTCCCCCACACTTAAGCTTTTGCTTGTCCTCAAGCAAACTGAACAACGGGGCTTACGATAATCACCACACGGAATTCAAAACAATTAGCATGCACACGTAGTCAAAGGGATATTCACAAAACATAAAAGCTAAACCAAGAAAATTCTTCCCTAAACTACATCTTTGTACTCTGGCTAACTCAAATGACAAATTTATTCACGACATCCTTAAAGTAATGGCAACAACCACTAATGAACTAGCTACTGATCAGAAGGACTTGTGAAGGCGGTGGTGAATGGTGGATGGGAAAGAATAAAAGTCCCTTTCTTTGAGATTTTTGGGAATGATCTGACAAAAACTTAATGCATTCAGGAATCTCAGGGCTATTTTTAGGCTCAGGGAGTTCAGTAGGACACAAATTAGGAACTATCATTTAAACCTATGCAAAGAGTAGACATGGTGTACAACTAAGCTAAACCGTCGATGCACATTGGTGTCTTGACGTATATACTTGAAGTACGTGAAGGACTAATGCTAATTTTGCAATAGCCTCCAAGTTCAATTAATTAAGATCAGTTTTCCTTGTCATGTTGGCACGCGAACGTCATTTCTTTCAAAAGATCCCCAAGTCTCATCTTATTGTGCAAAACACTTGCGCTTTTTGACCGGGTCTCCAATTCTCTTTTTCGCAAGGTAAGAGGTCTAGCTATACTAATTTTTTTTTCAATTTTCAGATTTTCACTAGACATTACATCATTCTAATCTCGACCTCACCAAGGAAAATTAGCAATTAAGGTTCATTACATCAAGGTGAATCCATGCCTACAATGCAATCCTCGAAAATATCAAATGCCTAAAAAGTACCTGCTCTTACCTCATTTGGGGCATAGGAACAGTGCCAAAATTAGCTCCTACAAAAATTTCCTAAACTTAGCAAATTAATCCCTTAGTTCCCTAAACATCAAGACCTTGTCAGAATTATTCACAGGTGTGAAAACACGGGCCATTTGGCTATGAAGCTCAATTAACTGGGTAAAGAACAGAATGGTCAGGCTCAAAATAGCTTCTCCTAAAGGGCTTATTCAGGTGGGATGGACGATTTTATCAAATCAATTAGTGACTAAAGCGTTCGTCCTCTCAACAACTAGCTCATCGTGCAGCAGTTTAAGCCTAAACACATTGAGGATGTTCTAAAAACGCATTCAATTTCCCTAACCAGTTCACAAAGACACAGTTTAAAGAAAAATTTCCAAACATTTTGACATGACTTCCCTATGAATATACCACTAACACCTGCGCATGCTAACTCTAGAAATCTCATGTGACAGCTACTGCCCGAATGCCCAATTCACTCCCCCACACTTAAACTTTGGCATCGCCTTCGATGACCAAAAATGCACTATGCACCAGGGGGTAAAGGGGAAAGGGTCACGTGTACTCAAATCTCAACTTAAGTTACGCACTACATACAAACGAGTAAAAGTCAAGGAACTTCTCTAGTAGCGTTGGTCGGTGCGGAAACAGAACTGAGTCAAACTGTGAACCTCGGCGCGTCTTCCAAAAGGCAAAAGAAAGATGCAAACACAATTCAACGAACAAAACGTATAGCAGTGTATAGAGTAACAAGTGATGAGTGTGATGGTGAATAATACAGTTATCCAACAAAAATGAAAATACAACAGCTAGAGGAGAACATCTAGGTCACGTAAGCTACTGCTCTGGAGGAGGTGGGGGCTGGTATCCAACAATGAAGGCACTCCAACTGGACTTTAGAGAGGTGAGGCGGACATCAATGCCCAAAAACTGGGACTGGACCTGTGAATAATGCAGTTGTTGCTCCTCCCTCATCTGTTGCTGAAAATCCAGTTGATCTTGCCTCATCTGACCAAAGTGATCTTGCTGCTGCCATGCACGCTGCTCCTGGTGCCAAGCATGCTGCTCCTCATAGAATCGCTGATAGATATCCTCCTGGTGCAGCATCTTGTGTAGCGTCATGATCCATGTCATCGCCTCCCTCGTGCTCTTCCTCCTCTTGGTGGCCTGCTCTGCCACCCTCGACATAGGGCTAAATGGTCTGATGATCTACCGATTGTCCTCCACCTCCAGCTCTCTGCGCCTCCTCCCACTGTACCCTCCCCCCAACTCCCGTGTGCATAGGGGAAAGTGTCATCAATGGGAGATAAGTAGAGACCCCCTCCATCCCTCTCAACTGGTCACCATAGCCCATCTCTTTTAAGAGGCTAGTAATGTACGGGTCGGAGTAGAGTGCCTTGATGTTGTAGGTGGACTGGCGATGTAAAAGGCCGGCAATAATGGACGCCATGTGAGGCTTGCGATTATGAATCATGCGGTACAGGCAGAGGAGATCTGTGGTGGAGACCTTGCCCCCTACCTTGGCTTTTCCGGTAACTGTTGAGTTTAAGAGTGTGTGGATGACCCGGTACTTTTGGGGGTAGAGGTATGTGCTAGGTGACTCCCGGGGCTTGTATGTGGTGCCCCCTCTCATGATGGACTCCCAAAAGGCCTGCCTATTCACATCTGGTGGCAGGTCACACAACCCCACCGTGCCCCGTGCTCCTTCCTCCACCTCATCAAAACCAAGGCATGTCTCAATACGGGAGATGGACATTGTATGGTCTTCCCCGAATGCCTGAAACCTGATGTTTCTCTTGAAATTGTCATGTTCGTAGATATGTTTGGGCAGATTTATGGTGGCCAACACTTCGCATGTCACCTCCTTGTATGTCGGCTCACGGATGCCGAAGAACAGATGCCGCCACCAGCCCCTCCGCAACAAATGTCTGACCTCGTCATTAAGCCTGTCTGCAGTCAGTGTGGGCTCGTAAGGGTAAACATCGGGCCCACTTCCTTCTTTAGTAGCTCGACATAGTGCAACATGTGCTTATCTTCGACAAATTGTGGCTGGTAGGGGTCACTTGGGGCCCTGCTAGAGCTGGCATCGCTTGCATCTCGAGATCTCTATAGTGTTCTCGGTGCGGGCCATCTGCAAAAAGGATTTAAACAAAAGAATTCCAACAGGGCTCCCAAGTGTTAGAATTGAGCAAAATCATAGAAGACTAATTGGCCCCGTCACCACAATGAATCACAAGCATCACCATAAGTCAAAACAAACCCGAGTTTAACCAGAATAGTTAAAAAGTTGGATCTTTTCTCAAAATAGAATTCGTTGAATAAAATCCAAATCTCTAATGACACACGGTATAAACAAGGTCACAAGCAAGAAGAACTCAACACAACGTCTTTTTAAGGTAGGATTCATCCCAAAAGAAATAGCTAGAATGCCAAAATTGGGGAAATAATCCTAAAATTTCAAATTTGACAAAATTGAGCCAAAAACTTGGGGATTCGTCAACAATTGGGTTCACAGCAATACTAGAATCAGCAATGTCATGAAAAAGAGCCACACTTTAAGCAAGAAATTCAAAATCTCCAAATTTTCGCACGTTCAATAATTTCTAACCCTAAGTTGGTCAAATTTCTCAAAAATTAGGGATTTCATGGATTATGGCTTCACAACACTCAGAGAACATCAAAAGCATGAAATTAAACAACAATTTAATCAGAGAAAGCAAAATCCCTCATTTTCGAGCATATGAATTTTCAGACCAAAAAGCTCAAAGCTTCCATTAATGGAGAAAAACAATCTTGAGAGCAGAAGGAATACCTTGCTTGGAGTTAAGGAAGAGAGAGGGGGTGAGTTTCGCTGGTGGTCGTCGGCCATTCACGGTGGTCGCAGGTGGAGTTTACTCCGGGAGTTCGTACGTAGTGAGCTGGGCGTGCGTCGTGAGCGTGAAAGAAAAGAGGAAGGGGGTGCTGGGTTTATGTTTTGATGCGCAGGGTATTTTTAAATTTTTACCCAGTCCAGGACCGTGTCTGGGTTCCAGCGAGTTGGTACTCCAATGTACTGCAGGCACGACCGTGCCTAAAGGGTCAGGCACGGTGTACCTGCCCTTAAAAACAGTAAAACGGGTTTTTTTTGGGTTTATTGAAAAGCAGTAAACTACACTAATGAAGCAAAACTAAAGCTCGGGTTGCCTCCCGAGAAGCGCTATTTTTAACGCTCGCGATCTAACGGTCCTCCATAGTATTTTTCAGGTGATGGTCGTTAACTTTGAAACGGCACTTCTCAGGATGGTCAATTTCAACTGTACCGTATTGAAAAATTTCACTAACTACGAAAGGACCAGACCATCTAGACTTCAACTTTCCTTTAAAAAATTTCATCCAGGGACAAATAGCAGAACTTGATCCCCCTTACAGAACTCTTTGTCCTGTTTGATTTGCCGATCATGATAGGCTTTGGTGCGCTCTTTACTAATTTTAGAGTTCTCATAGGCCATAAGCCTCCACTCATCCAACTCGTTGAGCTTCCAAAGTCGTTCACGCCCCGCCAAAGTAAGGTCCCTATTCAACGTCTTCAAGGCCCAGTAGGCCTTATGCTCAAACTCAATCGGAAGGTGGCAAGTTTTCCCATAAACTAAGTGAAATGGTATAGTGTCGATGGGTGTCTTATACGATGTACGCAATGCCCACAGCGCATCATCTAACTTATCAGACCAATCCTTCCTATGGGTCTCAACAGTATTTTCAAGGATGGTCTTAATGTCTCTGTTCGAATTCTCCACTTGGCCACTAGTTTGAGGGTGATAAGGGACTCCCCCTTTATGAGTGACCCCGTACTTTGCCAGAAGGCGTGTCATGGGATCATTCCTAAAGTGGGTGCCCCTATCACTAATCAAAACTCGTGGCACTCCAAACCTAAAAAACAACTTCTTCAGAAAATGAATCACAACTCTAGCATCGTTAGTGGGCAAAGCTTGAGTCTCAACCCACTTAGAATCATAGTCCACAACAACAAGAATGAATTTATTACCTTTAGATGTCGGAAATGGTCCCATAAAGTCGATGCCCCAAACATCAAATACCTCACATGCCAAGATAAAATTTTGGGGCATCTCATCCCTCTTGGTAACCACCCTGGTGCGTTGACACCTGTCACAAGCCTGCACAAAACTCAAAGCATACTTAAACAGAGAAGGCCAGAAGAAACCACATTCCAAAACTTTACGGGTTGTCCGGTTAAAAGAATAGTGTCCCCCAGTTGGTCCGGAATGGAAATGTTCCAAAATTTTAATTCCTTCACACAAGGAGACACATCTTCTAATAACGTGATCAGCACAAACACAAAACAAATATGGTTCCTCCCATAAATAGTATTTCAGAACGACAAAAAAATTCCTACGCTGGTGAGGTGTATAATCAGAATGGACGACACCCCCAACCAGATAGTTGGCGATATCCGCATACCAAGGCACCTCATCAGCTATAAGCAACAGTCTCTCATCAGGAAAAGTACCCTCAATGTCTCTCTCACACAGGGTATCAAGAAAGGGGTTTTCTAACCTACTCAAATGATCAGTTGCTAAATTCTCAGCCACTTTCTTGTCCCTAATCTCAATATCGGACTCTTGGAGCAGTAATATCCACCGAATCAATCTAGGATTTGCGTACGATTTTTCCAAAAAATATTTGAGAGCGGAATGATCGGTGAATACCACTACCTTAGACAAAATCAAATAAGGACGAAACTTATCAAGAGGGCGCAAACACAACAACAAGCAATTCATTTTCAGTGGTAGTGTAGTTCTCCTGGGCACTGTCAAGAGTTTTACTAGCATAAGAAATCGGTTGAAAATGTTTCTCTCGACGCTACCCAAGAACAGCTCCTACGGCATAGTCACTAGCATCCCACATAATCTCAAAAGGTAATGACCAGTCGGGAGCTACCACCACTGGTGCCGTGACCATTTTCTCCTTCAAACACTCAAAAGCCTCTAAACACTCCTTTGAGAAGTCGAACGGGGTGTCCTTCTCAAGGAGCTTGGTCATGGGTCGTGCTATCTTAGAAAAGTCTTGGATGAACCTACGGTAAAAACCTGTGTGGCCTAGAAAACTCCTAATGGCACAGACTGAGGTAGAGGGAGGCAATTTAGAGATAACATCAACCTTAGCCGGATCAACCTCAATCCCCTTACTCGAGATTTTATGCCCTAGGACCACTCCCTCTTGAGCCATGAAGTGGCACTTCTCCCAGTTAAGTACCAGATTCACTTCTCTACACCTAACCAAGACTTTTTTCAAGTTCTCTAAGAATTCATCAAAGGTATCACCAAACACATAGAAATCATCCATAAACACTTCCATGAACTTCCCAATAAATTCCCCAAAAATAGCAAGCATACATCTCATAAAGGTAGCAGGGGCATTACATAATCCAAACGCTATCCTCCGATATGCGAAGGTACCGAATGGACATGTTAACGTGGTCTTATTCTGATCCTCTGGGGCTATGGGGATCTGGAAGTATCCTGACATCCCGTCAAGGAAACAGTAGAACTTATGTCCTGCTAACCTCTCTAAAATCTGATCAATGAAGGGGAGGGGGAAGTGGTCCTTCTGGGTGGCGGCATTTAATTTTCAGTAATCAATGCAGACCCGCCATCCGGTGACCGTACGTGTAGGAATCAACTCATCTTTCTCATTCTTCACCACTGTCATTCCCCCTTTCTTGGGGACCACCTGGGTCGGGCTGACCCAGGGGCTGTCTGAAATTTGGTATATGATACCCACATCTAACAGACTATTGACCTCCTCCCTGACCACTTCCTGCATATTAGTTTTCAGTCTTCTTTGGGGCTGCACTACTGGTTTAGCATTCCCTTCCATCAAGATTTTATGAGTGCAGAAAGAAGGGATGATTCCTTTCATGTCAGAAAGTTTCCGGGCTAGAGCTTTCCCTTGTTCACTAAGTAAAGAAAGAGATGCTGATTTTTGGGATGACTCAAGCCCGAATGCAAGAATAAGATGGAGGTTTAGGACTATCATCAAGAAAAGCATACTCAAGGTGGGAGGGAAGAGGTTTTAGATTTAATGGAGACGGTGTAACAATAGAAGAATCAGTCTGAAAATCTTCTTTCTCCACCTCATCTAAATCTTCCTCCTCCCCTTCTCAAAACTAGCATCACTTGAGTCCTCCCCTCCACTAATCGCATTACAATCAAAACCTGGGAGGAGCTCAAGATCCTTTGCAGAAAAACTCTCATCTAACAGAGAATCAAAGAAGGCTTCATCAGAAAGCATGTTAGGAATGCAATCCTCCACCAAGGAATCAACATTATCCACGTAAAAACATTCACCACTATCTTGACAGGGCCTCTTCATTATTTTGGACATATCAAAAGTGGAAGACTCATCCCCAACACGGAGGACAAGTTTACCGTCTCCAACATCAATAAGTGCTCGGGCAGTGGCCAAGAATAGTCTGCCCAAAATCAAAGGTACCTCACGATCTTGATCCATGTCCAAAATAACACAGTCTACAGGAAAAATAAATTTGTCCACTCTTACCAACACATCTTCAGAAATCCCTTGGGGATATTTGCCTGATCGGTCAGCCAATTGAATGCACATGCGTGTTGGTTTAAGTGGACTGAGTGCAAGCTTCTCATACAAAGCAGAAGACATTAAAATAATGTTTGCACCCAAATCAGCTAGGGCCCTATCAAAATTCAAATCTCCTATAAGGCAAGGAATAGTAAAAGAACATGGATCCTTAAGCTTCTTCGGTAAATCTGTCCTAATCACAGCTGAACACTCCTCGTTAAGCATCACGGTAGATGCTTTTTCCAGCTTCCTCTTGTTCATGAGCAGATCTTTCATGAACTTCGCGTACTTCGGCATTTGTGATAGTGCATCCATGAATGGTAAGTTAATCTGAACTTGTTTCATGAGGTTCAGAAACTTACCAAATTGGTCACTATCATTCTTCCTCATTAAGCGCGTCGGAAAGGGGAGAGGTAGGCTGTAATTCTTGGCCAGAACAGACTGTTTTGGTGCAGCCGCCACCTCTCTTCCTTTTTCTTTTTCCTTTTCTTCCTCCCGGTCAGCAGGTTCTAGTTCTTTTCCACTCCTCAATGTGACTACCTGAACATGCTCTCTTGGTTATTTTCGGTGTTGCTTGGGAGGAATCCCATAGGCCTTTCAGACATGGCCTTCACGAGCAGCCCAATTTGAGTTTGCATGTTCTGAAGACCGGCAACAGTTGTTTGTATGACTTTGTTGAGTTTATCATCCAAGCTCGAAAGCTTTTGCTCAGTCACTTTTCTAAAACTCCCTTGCGCCAGCTGAGATGCCTGTTGCTAGGCCTGAGGTGCTTAGGGCTGATTATAATTTCTAGACTTATGATGTTGACTTCCTTGCCCGTAATTCCCCTGCTGCTGCTGGCCGTAGGGCTGGTTGTAATAGCCCTGCCTTTGAAAATACATTGCATCTACTTGCTCCACTCAAGGGGCTGCCGAGTGTGCCATCATATTACATTCATGTGGCCAATGGAGTCCCCCACACATAGTACAAGGAGGACTCATAGGACCGGGGGCTACCATGTTTATACTGGGCACCGAGTGAGCAAGTTCCACCTTTTTCCCTAAATCATCCATGCTGGTTGTGAGCTTCTGCATCATGCTTGCCAATGTATATACCCGTGCAAAGAGGGCAGAATTATCACTGATTTCGTAAAGGCCTTGAGTTTTTTGCTGAGGAGAATTCCTGTCACTGTACCAGGATGCATTGTTTGCAACTATCTTCTCTATGAGTTCTTCTCCAACCTCAGATGGTAATTGGGGAAAGGCTCCATGGGCGGAAGCATCCAGCATCATCTTCCCTTCATTGTTGGTTCCACTGTAAAAGAAAAAGAGGATCTCACAGTTGCTCATTTTGCCTTGAGGGCAAGACCTTCTAAGTATCTTAAACCTCTTCCATGCTTCAATTAAAGTCTCCAAAGATCCCTGCTTGAAGTCTTGTAGCTGCTTCTTCAACTTTAG